GACTGAGGACATTAGGCATAACATCTAGATGGTGCCGCTGAGTAGAATGGGCCCTGGAGGAATCCTGATTTCTCATTTCCCCTCCAGAGCCCCTACATGTGTTCCCAACCCCAGGAGCACAGTGTGGTGATTCCATTCCACTCCTTCTAGAAGAATCTGGGTTCTTCTAGTCTCCTGTGCAAGGCAGTCCTCTCTTCTTTCCCCCAGCAGTCCTTAATGTTGGCATAGAGTGTCTCCCTCAGGCACAGGGATCTGGTGGGAAGAGGGAGGCCATGTCAGACTTCATACATGCAATTCTTCAAGCAAGAACAAGAGTTATGTCCAAAGTCAATCCTAACTAGAGGTTAGAACATTTGACAGATGGGAACTTATGTCGAACCCTTCTTTCTTTTGTCTGTTGTTCTGTGGTGCTCAGGGTCAGACCCCGGGGCTCCTCTGTGGTGGGGAAGTGCTCTATCACGGAGCTCATGACCCTTGTTAGTTGTCATTGTTTGGGAGATTTTTTTTTTTTTTTACAGTGTGTACCTGTGTGTGTCTGTGGTAGTGGTGGTGGGGGTAGGAGGAGTTGCCCATGTGGGTGCAATGCCAGGGGAGGCCAGAAGAGGGCATCAGATTCCTGGAGCTCGGGTTACAACCCGTTGTGAGCCATTGGGTCCTCTGCCAGAACAGCAAGTGCTCTTTCCAGATGAGCTGTCTCTGACCCCCCCCGTTGTTGTTTGAGAAGACATGCCTGTGTCAGTCCTGGAACACACTACTGCGATCAGAGGGGCCTTGAACAGTTAGTGGGCCTCTGCATCCCGGGTGCTGAAGTTAAGGCTTTCACAACCAGGCCTGGCTGACCCTTGATTCTTAACCCCTAAACCTGAAGCATCATTTTCAAGTGTGATTTTCAGACTAGTTGACTTAGACCTCCAGAATCACCTAAGCCGCCCCATGTGGGCCCAGCACACCCTGCTTGACAGCAAGGACCAGAGGAGACTGCCTGTGGTGTGGACTAGCTTCTCAGGATATGGCTCTGGACCGATTCACACTTTGCTCCTCTTTGGTCACTTGTTTTAAATTTTAATTGCCATTTATTTGTGGGGGCAGATGTGTACCACAGTGGGACTGTGGCGGTCAGAGGACAATTTGCGGCAGTTGGTTCTTTTCTTCTGCCATGTGGGTCCCGGGGATTAAATTTACATGGCAGCAAGTGCCTTTCCCTGCTGAGCTATCCTGCTGGCCACTGAGTTACTGTGTGTGTGTGTGTGTGTGTGTGTGTGTGTGTGTGTGTGTGTGTGTGTGTATGAGAGAGGGGGGAGGTCCTCAGGTCCTCAGGTGCCATTCACTTTGTTTTTTTAAAATATTTACTCATTTTTAATTTTATGCACATGGGTGTTTTGCCTGCATGTATGTCTTTGCACCATGTGCATGCAGTGCTCTTAGAGACCATAAAAGGGCGTCGGATCCTCTGGAACTGGAGTTATGAATGGTTTTGAGCCACCACGCAGGTGCTGGGAATCAAACCTGGGTCCTCTGGAAAAGCAGCCAGTGCTCTTAACTGCTGAGCCATCTCTCCAGCCCCCAACTGATTTTTGGAGACTGTCTCTTACTGTCCTAGCTCTCATCAATTCATTTGGTTGGGTATCCCGCCAGGCCCAGGGATCTGCCTGACTCCCCCTCCCTGTCCAGCCTGCCCTAGTGTGGGGTTTACAAGCTCGTGCCACAGTGCTGGGCTGTTTTGACATGGTTCTGGGCATCAGGTCCTCATACTTGCAAGGCAAGCACTTGACTGACTCACCTATCTGTCTACTCCTGAGCCTATGAAGGTTAAATACACTCAAGGTTCCAGTCTCTTGCTGTATCCTGTCAACTCTCGGATGAACATCCTGACATAGACAGGGCCACTTGGCCATGCGTCACCCACTATGGTGGTCTGAAACCATGGCACAAATTAAACCTTCTCTTCAGTTCTTTCCATGAAGTTCGACCAGAGTGTCCCCAAAGTAACTAACGAAGGTGATCCTGAAAACTAGAGCACAAACTTGAGTGCAAAAGTGTAATTGTGGCTGGGGCGATGGCTCAGTGGATAACCTTGCTGAACAAGTATGGAGACTGGAGTTTGGCTCCCCAGAACCCACATACAAGCTAGGCAGGCCTGCAGACACCTGCAATCCTGATACATAACAGGCACAAAGATCTCTGGAGAACATGGGCTAACCAGACTAGCTGCCATTGACGAGCTCTGGGTTCACCAACACACTATACCACAACAGATAAAGTGGACAGACATCAAGGAAGACACTCTGCATTAACTGCTGCCCACCCCCACAGATGTGCACCACACACACATACATACACACATACATACATACATACATACACACACACACCACATATATCACACTCAGAAAACAGGAAAAGCAGATGTAAATTATGGAGGTGTGGAATTGTAGAGCTGCCGAATGTGAAGGGGGAACAGAAATTCATATTTCCTCAAACACATCTGGACCTAGTTGCTTAAAGTAGAAGGCTTTCTACTCAATTCAAGTCCTTGTGACAGAAAGGTCACTTCTAAGGTCAGCTGGCTGGCCTCCAGGTGCATAGCCTGTCTCCCCAAGGTTGCGCCTCCTGGTTGTCATTGCTGTGTATGCAGTGATGAGGAGGGTCTGGCTGTGTGTGTGGCTGGGATTTCTCACAGTATGGAGGTTAAGTGTGGGATGCCAGTGTGTCATGTGTGTGTTCTGTACCTTTCCTAACCAGACCACAGACACACTTTAAAAGACACCAAGGACATACCTAACTCAGGCAATGGTCTTAGGCCTCCATGGCTCTAGGGTTCTAAGTAAGGTTGGTGCGATCGCGTGCCCACACCCACAGCTCTGGGTTGTAAGCTTGGATCTGGAAAAAAATGACAACAAAACAGTTCCATGAGAAGTTCCAGATGCTGGCTCTCCTGGAAGACTCCATGTCCTCAGATCCACCTTCAGCTCTTCCGTTCCCCAACCCCACTTCTCATGTTCAACTGCATCCCTCTCTCTGTCTGCCCTTCTGTACCCCATGTGCCCCACACCCACCCACCTCTTCACACTCCTCCCGGGACACCCAGATCTTCCAGTCCATGGACCGAATGAGCTGGAACCGCAGTTTGTGGAACATGGGGCGCTGGGCATAGCTCTTCCCATAGAGGAAGTAAAAAATGTCTTGTTTAGGGGCCTGGTTGTCCTCCTCCATGTCATTGGCCAGGTACCTGGGGAAGAAAT